TTGCCTTTTTTTACTTCAGTACACAACTGGACGGTTGCTCGGCCTTACAGACATTGTCACGGTATTGGAAGCCATCTTGACGAGTAGGCAACCACGTGAGAAATTACAGTGTTTGTATGAGAATCTAATGTCGAATAATTTCCGCTTGAAAACGCCTGTTCTGAAAAAAATATGAGTTGTAAACTAAAGCCACACAACAAAGAATTTTAATTATTTCACCACCCTGTTGAAGATAAAAGACCTTTTTCCATGACCCTGATTCATTTCATTGTTGAAAACTAAATGGTAGAATTATATCATTATTTTTCGAAAATAAATGTTCACTACACATGTAAACCGTTTACCCCCAACGTTCACCCGCCCAATTCAAGCCTTCAATCCAGAAATACATTTTGTTCAAGTTAAATAGTCACATGTTAATCAGTGTTAAAGCAAATTTTAAAATCTACAGTTATTTTAAAATTTTCACAGCTTGAAAGAGTTTAAGTTATATCCGGAGTATTTTACAGAAAGTTTGCGTTTGCGATATGCATATCAGTTCTTGTCATTTAAGAAAAAGATATCTTTTGTTTGATATCTCAGCTGGATAAGTGCCTAATAACTGATGGATATTCCTTTCGTGTTGCCATGAATCTTGACTAAGTTACCGAACAATATCACTGGTGATTGGTCGTGTTCTTTTTCTAACGCAATAAAGGAACAAAGCTAATATTCAGCAGAATAAGCGATACAATAAAAAGAGAAAAAAAACAGACCCTATATTTGACTCTGACAAAGATTGAGGGAGGGGTCTAACAAATATGATGACTTTAATACTTGGTATTAGACGACAAAGAGACTTGCATGGCAATTGCTAAATTAAGAAATCGTGTAAAAAATGTCTCAAAATCACTATAACTGCGAGTTACACTGATGAGAAAAATGACGTTTAAGTGCTGAAATACACGAAACGTTTTTATTATTAACAGTTATTTCCATGCGATAAGTCAAGTTTCAAAACTTAAACTTCCTGTTTTTGTATTTACAGTCCTAAACTATAATTCTTCTGGTCCAACTGCATTTCTCAAGATTTAAACAGTGACTTGAAAGCCCCCCGGACTTAAAAGTTAAAGAGGCCGTTTAATGTTGGCTTTAAAGACACCAAAAATGCACATAAGCCTGCGAATGCATCCGCTTTTCATTGCTCCTTGCCTCGCAATCAACCTGCCACCTTCTTTAAAATGTTCTTTGTTTTTAATCATAAACTTCCCTGTTCTAGCTTTCAATAAACAAAACTGAAATGTCATGAACAAGACGTTACCTGGAACCGACAACTATTCGGAGAAGAAAATTTGCTTTATAACCGTTGCTTATGTACGTTCAAGGCATAAGAAAAATGACATTTACGTGCTAAAATACATTATTATAATGTTTTGATCAACATATATCAATGGGATGAGTCACGTTTATTTCAAAACCTAGACTTTCCTTTCTTACAGCAAGCCAAATTTTGTGTCACATTTGCCGATTTAAAGTCCCAAAGGCTGTTTGGGTTTCCCTGCAAGATTTAAGCAGTGACTAGTATAAGAAAGGCATAAGCGCCGATCTGTCACATAAACGGACGTACTGGTGAGGTATGTATACGTAGAAACCTTATTTTAACGCGTTTTATTTGTAACACAAGCGGTGCTTTGTGGTGAACGGAGAAGTTTACAATAAGTCACTAAGGAAGTGAACGAGGAAAATAGTGTAGTTCATTTTTCGATTTTTTCAGCTTAGGTACCACCATTTCAGAAAGGTTCGAAGACCCAATACTTTATGCCCTAAGAGTGATCAGCATCAAATTTCTGCTTGTAATATCAATGCTTTGTAAAACAGAGTGGTCATAAGAATAACGGACATGATCACACATGATGAATTTGCTCGATATTTTATCAACTTCTCTCCACTACTTCTGCACCCGGTAGGAAACGAATAGGGGCAACAAATGAGAATTGATCTTAGGGTTTAAAGGGTTTTAAAACAGCTTCCTTTCATGCGATGATACTTTTCTATGTTTAGACCATGTTTGATCCCATTTCATCAAAGAATACAGATTCTCCCGCGGGAATCCACATGCTTTATCAAGTTGGCTATACTGGATTTTTTTAGGGCGCATTTAGCTGTGACGAAGTTATCGTCATAACATTTTCGTTTCTAATTCGATGGCTGAGAAATTTTGCAAAGAAGGACAGATATCTTTCGGCAATAGTACGAAATATTCCGATTTCATTGATGGTAAATATATTTTTCTAGATTAGCGCTTAAAAGGACTCTACTTTTCAAAGAAAATCGCGCCTAGTAAAAAATTTTGCTGATATTTTTTTACTGAAATTTCTGGTATCGGCCAGTTAATTGATATAATAAATATGCCAGACGAATTTCAGAAAAATCGTTGGAGCAGAATCCGTAACTTAAAGTCGCTCAAAATCGAGCTGTGAAATTGTTTTGGAATTTCAAAAATAAATTACTATCAGGTAGAAGGAACCACCAGTTCGAATTTTCGGGACAAGTAAATTTAATGTTTGCTAATTCTTAAACAAAAGCTGATTGCCTCAGTCGTGCTATTCTTTAAAAGGTACTTTTTAGTTTTAGAAGCACTATAAATTGCTCCAAACTTTGCTCTGAAGTAGAATTACTTCCTCGACATTTTTAAAATATTCCTTTGCAGTTTCGGCTCAAACTCCTACTGTGTAAACATATTGCATGTATTGCAATGCATTTTCAACGACTTTTACTGCTTTTCGTTGCTTCCAACCCGGTAAAGAGGTATTTAGATTGGACGCAACCTAATATCAGAGCTCAGATAGAACTTTCCAGCACATTGTTTATTACTACAAAATGAGCACGAGTGGCAGTTCTGCGAAGAATTCGCACGTCACCCAGGGGGGACGAACGACAATGATGCCCATGCCTGTGAACCGAATTTAATACTGCCCTTGAATAAATTTATAACTCTGAAATTTTTGTCACTCCTTCCTTCACTGAATGGGTAGTTTTTCTTGATAATTATGTTTTGCTCTACAATACATGTTTATACAGATCTCTTCGCAGACATGGGCATCATTGTCATTCGTCCCCCCTGGCTGAGGTGCGAATTCCTGCGGAGCTGCCGCTCGTGCTCATTTTCAGGTCATAAACAAAGGTGCTGGACAGTTCTATCTGAGCTTCGATACAAGGTAGCTTACAATCCTAATACCTTTTTCCTGAATTGGAAGCAACGTACAGTACTGGAAAGCCGTTGAGGATGCATTGCAATACATCAAAATGTATGCAGCAGTAGTTTGACCGTAAAATGCCAAGGTATATTTTAAAAATGTCGAGGAACAAGTCATTCGACGTCAGAGCAAGGTTTGGAACAATTTATGGTGCTTCTAAAACTAAAAAGTTAAAATGTAGAAAATATAAAGCACGATAGGCAATCGGCTTTTGTTTTCAGAATTAGCAAACACTGAATTTACTTGTCCCGAAAATTCAAACTGGTGGCTCCTTCTACCTGATAGTAATTTGTTTTTGAAATTCCAAAACAATTTCACAGCTCGATTTTGAGCGACTCTTAGTTACGGACTTCTGCTCCAACGATTTCTCTGAAATATTTCTCCGGCATATTTATTATATCAATAAAAGCCGAAAACAGAAATTTCAGTAAAAAATATCTGCAAAATTTACTAGACGCGATTTTCTTTGAACAGTAGGGTCCTTTTAAGCGCTAATTTCTCAAGAAATATGTATACACAATCAATGAAATCGGAATATTTCGTGTTATCTATATCCGAATGATAGCTGTTGTTCTTTGCAAAGTTACGCAGCCATCGCGTTAAAAACGAAAAAGTTATGATGGAAAATTTGTCACAGCTAAATGCTCCAGTATTAATGACGGAGCCACCTTAAGTTTGAGTATTTACCACGTCGGCAATAACAAAGATATTAATTAGGTTAACCCTATTCAGACCGACAAAATCGTGATAACTCCTACACCGAAAGAGCTATGACCTTCAATTTTTCTGACTTTACCTAAAATTTATCTAGGAACATTTTGGTATAATTACCATGTCCATGTGATTAATCATGTTGCCATGGCAACCAGTTTCTGACACATAGGTTTTGGAAAATTTAAAAAATGGTGATTTTTTTGTTTTAAGATCGCGTTTTTACACTTATAGTGCTTTTTGTTGTTAAAATGGTCTTTGCTTGGGACTAGTTTTTGAATTACATCAAAATGTTTCAACATCGAATATTTGGGGGGGAGGGGTGGGGTAAAATTTGTCACTTTTTTGCTTTGACAAATATGCTGCTCTATTTTCCACATAACACTTCCAAAGTCATTTGTTTTGGTAATAAACATTAGTTTAATACTTCTTTTATACATTCTGAGCTTTTTCCCCTTTGAAAGTTGCTTTAAATTATAATTTTAACAAAAAAACGGAAATCCAAGATGGCGGATCCAAGATGGCGGATCCAAGATGGCGGACCACCATTTCAAATTTTAAATTTTATTGCTTCCTATTGCTTTTTCTCGCTGTACAAGTGTTTCCTTGTTACTAGTTCATAAGAAAGGATAACAAAGAGATGACTTTACCAATATTATTGATATTCTACGTATCTAAGTGGAAAAATAATAAGAAACATTGAAAAATCGGAATATGACGTCACTGTGACGTCATCATTGGGCGTGGCAAGTCAAAACTGGGTGTGAGGCTTCATTGTACGGAGATGATCATTGTGTGTAAATTTCATGACCCTAGCATTATTGGTTCCAGAGATACAGTGGGGGGGTCCGAGGAGCCCCCCTCCCAGTCACAGATTGACCAAAAAAGCCCAGTCTGAATAGGGTTAAGGTGTTTCGATATAGTTTTTCGGAGACCATACCGATGTTTTTCAATCGTCTTAGGGCCTGTTTACATGGAGTGGGGGACCACGGTCTAGTGGGGTTGGTTTCTTTTGTTTTCACGCTCTGGGGGACACAAAACAAAAGAAACTTACCCCACTAGACCGGGGTCCCCCACTCCATATAAACAGGGTCTTAAAAGTGATTTTGTCCTTGTCCGAAATTTTTCTCGTGACTATGAATTGAAGTTTGTCAAAATGTAGTTTTACTAAAATCGGTATCACTATGACAACAATAAACAAAAAACTTTTGAAATCGATAAAATCCGAATTTTTGCGCATAAGAAAGCAAAACCCTGAAGGATTCTGGTAGTGGTAGTAAAATGACGTAAATCGTGCAAATGGCCTATTAGCTAGCCTTGAATTCCAATACAAATCTTTGAATTTCCCGCCATCTTTCCCCTGATTACCCATGATGCAACAGTAAGCGTGAACTCCACTATCATCGTCAAAGGGTTGGGAAGGCTGCTACTTTTTAACTCTTTTTCTTCCTTTTTTCCCCTGCCGCCCCCTAGCCAGATGTTAAACAAAACATAAGCGGTGTGTACGCGTCTGTTGAATCGTTCTGTTATATTCCAAGATAGGTGGGAAGGGGAGGGGGAGGGGAGTCAGTTATTTAGCAAAAGGGAAAACCGTCTTCGATTTTTTGAACATAAAACGAACTGCTGTTAACTTATACAACCTTCCTAACAGCTTTTGTCCGGGACTGTAGTTTGAACAGGTCCATTTTGTCGTTGAATCGATAGGCTTATAAATAACTATTATATCTTCTGCAAAGCAATTTGAAATCGTCACTAAAACTTCGATCTTCATTGTGAACAAAACAGCTTTCGGTGACCGGCAATTACCGGAACTTCCGAGGAATGAGCTTCGGACCCAATCCTGGAGGCAGCGACCGAAATCCAGCCTAAATCTTCTTTTTCCCTTAACAGGTAATAAACACCGTTTTCAAATGGACTTCAACAATTGGAATCTCTTCTGGAGTTTCTGCTTTGGGCTATTGTCCTCTCTAATCATCGTTGGGGGAAATGCTCTATCCATATCAATACTTTCCAAGAGAAATCTTCGAAAGCGTTCTCATTTTTTGTTAATTAGCTTGGCTATTGCTGACCTCTTGGTTGGACTGATTTCAGTGCCATTTTACATAGCAGTGAAAAACATACCATATCGCATTGGAATTCTTACATTGTCTTATCGGTGCGTGGATATGATTACGGGCTTAAGCTCGATCTTCACCCTGGCGGCTATTTCCCTGGAAAGACGTCACGCTATTTCTCACCCTTTTCGCCATAGACAACTCACCTTACGCCGCTACGCGATTGCCATAGTAACGCCATGGGTCTTCTCACTTATTGTGACGTCATTTCAAGTGCTAAAATTTTTTTTCGTTATAACCTTAATGGAGTTCACTTCTGTGATAATCATTAGCTTGTCAACACCTTTATTGATAACTTGCGTTTCCTATTGCATCATTTGGACGAAGCAAGCTTCAAGAATTCCCAATGAAGCTCAAGCAAGAAAGGATGTTCACTTAAATAAGACGCTGCTTTTGATAACCGCAATATTTGTTCTCTCATGGCTGCCTTTTCAAGTTTTAACAGTTGTATTTCAGTTCTGCATCTCGTGTTATAATTATTATTCAAACAAAATTGCGATAATTGTAAATGTTGTTAAGCTTCTTCAATATAGCAATTCCTTTATGAATTTTCTAGTTTACTGTTTTAGAATGCCAGATTACAGAAAAGCGCTTTCACGAACGTTTTCCAAAGGCAGATGCAGTCGTTAGATAGTCGTCGAGTCTTTTATCCGCTAGTCAGGCCACACCGAAGCACGGATCTGGTGCTTAACATTTATCTCACTTATAATTACTCTATTTTCAAGTAATTTTTATTTGTCAAATACACGCATTCAAGCCCTAAATAGTCTTCACAAAGAAATTAAATAAAGGGAGTTTTATAAGAAAAATATATTTCTAGTAGTGTCTCGCCTGGTGTCCAAGTCACTAGTAGTCAGAAGTTAGCTTGCACTGAGGATAACCTGATTCCTTTGCTATTGAATGTACTACTTCACTAGTATAGACATTGTAAATTTACTTTTGTGGTGGTTTCATTGATTGTCAGCGTGAGAATGAACTTAAGGTTGATGTCAAATGTTAACGGAAGAGCAATTATGATGGATCAAACATTGCCATCTGATTATGAACTTTCAATTATTAATTTTTGTGTATGGTTTTAAATTAAGTAATTTGCTGTAGAAATTACTAGGTAAATTCACTGGTAAAAATCGTATTAGTCTTTTCTCCTGATGTCTCTTTCTTCTGGAGTCTCACCTATTCGAGAAGACATCAGTTTCGTTGTCGATCTGTACGTGAGGGTGCCGCATTTTCCTTTTGATAGGTGTGACTCTTCGACTAATAAAATCCTCAAGTCTAGTGGTAAGAATTAACCTGTTCCAAGGTTTAGGTGCTGCAACACCAGCAACACTGAAAGGTCTGTCAATAAACCTGGCTTTTCACCGCGACACCGGTAGGATAAAATCCTTTTGTTACCTCCTAACTTACATAGTGACATCTCTTTTCGATGGTTTTCACAACGTTCTTGTTATCAAAAGGATTTTTTCAAAGAAGGAAACAATTCTTACTACTCTTAGCATAAATTAACATTAATGAATGAGGCTGAGTATCTTATGAAGAATTATGGAGATCGAGGAGGGTGTTATCCGGCCGAGGCGGATAACACCCTCCGAGATCTCCATAATTCTTCATATGATACGAAAGCCGAATTCAATAACTGTTTTATTATTCATTCAAAATAATTCCAAGTTAAAAACCATAGCTAAAACATGCTTACCTCCATCGATCCATCGATGTTCAGTTCATCTTCGATAGTGTACGTTTAGGTTTGTCCAGCTCCGCAAATATTCTCCAAATAGCAGATGTCGCCCTTCGAGTTGTCTTCTTGCTGTTCTTGCCGTGTTTTTAGCTATTTTTTCGCCTAGTTCTTACTCTTGAAACGAGTGAAATGTCCGCCATTTTTTTAAGTTCACAACCAAAACAACTCAACCTCGTCCCCAGGTCTTCTCGGTTAACGATGCCTTAACATGCGAAAACGCTGCATTTTTGACGTCATTTCCTCGTTAAAGTCAAAATTCCTCCAAGTTTGGTCATCAGTAACTGGTTATGGTGAATGAAACATGTGCTTTTAGCCAATCAGAATTGGGGAAATATTTTGAATGAATAATAATACCTCTTATTAGCCGAGTTTTCGGTCCGTACTGTAAATTACGGACCGAGTTTTTTTCCATCGATTTATGGCCCAAGCGCGAAGCGCACGGGCCATAAATCGATGGAAAAAAACAAGGATCCGTAATTTACAGTACGGACCGAAAAAACGAGGCTAATAAGATGTTTATTATATGGCTTCTTCCTGTTTGGGGGACCGGAAACAAGTTCAGGACGCACGATTTGACATTCATTTGACAGGTGTCAAAAAAGAAAGTTTTAATTGGCGCACGAAAACAATAGCACATAACAAAGGCTTTCCGAGAAAATAAAAACAAATTCGCCATGTTAAAAAAGTTTATTTGGTCAAAACTAAGAGCACTGTAAGTTTTAGCTCTTTAATGTAACGCTGGAGTATTTTGGAAACCGGACACTGTGTCAGTCTAGAAGTCTTTTCCATCTTTCCTCCGTTTGTCCTTTAAAAACACTACAAAAGGCCTAGGCAAAGAAGCTTTTCAAGGTAAGTTTGTTGTTATTGTCGAAGGATTCGCTCGTTAATTGTTTTTGGGAAAACCTCTCTTTCTGCCACTTCATTCTCGTCTTCAATTGTGATCTGCGTTCAAATTTTCAAACACTGACTAGAATTCTCTTCCTCTGTAAGGTTACGATTCAGTTTCTACAACAGCTTCGTTCTCATTAAAACAAAGCTAAGTTAAAATTGGGAAAGGCAAAGTCAACATCCCAGTCTGCAGGGTTTACATACATATTTCAAAGTTTATTCGCTGGAACCTAAGAGCACTGTAAGTATTCACTCGTTAATGTGACACTGGAGTCTTTTGAAAACTGGACATTATTGTGTCTGGCTCGAACTCGCTTCTATCTTTCTTTCGTTGGTCTTTGAAAAAACACTGCAAATGGCAAAGAAGCTTGTCAAGATGATCGGGTGCAGGTATGTTTGTTATCATATTTGTTGAAGGAACTACTCATTTTCTCTTAGGCAAAACATCTCGAATCTCTGCCAGTCGATTTTCGTCAGCTTAACTGTGTACTACAATAAAATTTTCAAACACTGACTAGAATCCTCTTCGATAAGATTACGAGTTAGTTTCTTCATCGCTTTTGTTCACAAATAACCACAGTATAAAATGTTGAAGGCCAAAGTCAACATCCAAGTCCTCAAGGTTGACAGTCGTCTTATAACTTTATTTAAACATTTTTTCCGAGGTTAAGAGATTTAGACCTCCGAAATGAGCATTTTCTTTAAAAATTTTGGTTCGCATAGCAAGTTACGGACCGCCAATTGACCAATCGCACGCCGAAAACAGACTCAGCCATATAATAAGTTGATTTATGGACTGAATCGGCGGGACACGTATTTCTGTTGTTATACTCTCATTTGCATGTGCTGTACTCAAACTGTCTTTTTTACTTCCGTACACTACTGGACGGTTGCTTAGCCTTATTCTAATACGTTAATCGTCATGAAAAAAATTAGATTAGACTGGTGTATGACTCACTGTGAAGGAAAACTACTTTTACGATCGGATTCATTAATTCTTGAACGAGCTCCTAAAAGACAGATCAATCCTGATCTAATCGTGTCAGATGTTGGACAATCGCAACCCGGAATGAAATGAATAACAAAAATATAGATGATTTGAGATTCATTTAGAAGGAAAGATAAATTCCCTAAGTTTCAGTCTGCACCAGCCTTTTGTTTGAGTTAAGTGAAAGTCTAGGAATATAACAACATTTTTTTCCCGTACCTGCCACCAGGAGCCATAAGCTTATGATGTCCTGCTGCCACATTATCAAATTGAAACGATAAATACGTTTATACACTCCCGTAGTTCCCCCAAAAACTATATGATTCCAGACCCAAATGAGCAAAGTCTATACCCATTTTCAGACCAAAACAACGCAAAGCGTTTACCCTTTGGGGTGGCAAATACCTATGTGGCTATAAGAGAGTTCCCTCTGGGAGGAAGTAATGGTTTGCTGACGGAGAAGGTCGGAGAACCTTTAAACTTAACAGATCAGTGGTGATGACCTGTCACATATGACGTCATGCAACATAGGCTGAGAAATGTTCCACTTTTATTGATATCATGCATGCTGTTTCACGTCGACAGTCCTTTTACACTCAAAACATTTTTGGTTTTACTTTAAAAAGTCGCTGTTGATTGTTGTCAGTAAAGTCGAACCTCCCTGTACGACCACCTCCCATAATTTTATTTTATTAGCTTTGCCCTGATGAATACAAAAAAACTGATGATTTGCAAATACTAATAATAAGAACGTAACAACACACTAATAAAAACTTAAATAATTTGGGCAGGGACGCCGCAACAGCTGAAGCCAATTACTGCGGACCCAAGGCGACCAAGTGACCACTAGGATACGGCAAAACACAAAACCTTGCCCAGTCAAATCCCTATAATCAGAATCTCTCGTAAACGTTTTTAACCTCTTGTAATTATAAGCGCCACTTGAGGCACGGCCATGGTTTGATCACTATATATTCGCTGAATGTCCTATACTACTCACAGTATGCAAAGACCTTAGTGTGTCTCAGTCACCTTGGAAACGGGCCCCACCTTGCGACGGCTTCTTTATTACAAAGTGGGACACAGTTATTACAAATTGCGACAGTGCGAACGAAATGTAAAAGGACTGAAGATAATGAGTTAAAAATCTGGATATGAGGATCTACTAATTATCATCTCTTTACTATAAAGCTACTAGCCAAACATGATAAACCCAACCTACCTCCCTTTGATACAACAGACGGATACAGAACATGTTTTAAACTGTCTTGGGATCATTCCATTTTCCGTGCCCCCCATTTTCCCACTCCCCTAAAAAGGAGAACAATTTCAGTAAGGTTTGAATAAACCCTTTTGGAACTTTGAATTTAGGTGAGTTGAAACCACTATATTTTAGCGCACAGTTGAACCTCCATGCGCCCACACTCGGGGCACTGGTAGGTGGCCGCTCAACTTAATCTCAACCCTCGGACTTACGGGGGTGGGGTGGGGGGGTCGGTGGTTGCCAATCCTCCATAAGATTTTTCTGATTTTTTTCCAAGCTGTTTTTTGCTATAGCTGTTTGTTTATCCTTCGCGCATATTTTGAGACAAGTTTAGTGATAGTCAGTTACTATGGTTACGAAATGTGACGTCATAAGTAGCAGTGCAGGTGGTCAAGCCATTTTTGAGTGAAAATACATGTTTTTCATTTTTTTCAACAGTAAAAGTAAAACTTGTGGATGAAATGATGCGAAGTAATTATTAATGTGTTATTTTACCTGTTAAACGAAAAAATTATTAATTTAACTGTTTTTACCTGATTTCTAATGCTTGATAAAATCCAAGATGGAGACCATGTTTGGTGACGTCACAGCCTCTAGCAGCATCACCACCCATAAAATATACCTCATCTTGTAGAGAAGATCAAAGGCTTTCCACTGCAGGCAAAATCGTTTTGAAATATTGCAACGTACCAAAAACCTCCTCCTTCGATCACCCCCCCCCCCCC